CTTTGCTGCAACCTTTCATACAGTTAATAGGCTTTTACAGTGTGTACCCTTTTGGAAACTTTTAAAATAGCTGTAACCTTTCTTTTTAAAATAGCTGTAACCTTTCTACTTGAAACCAGGCGCCCCTCAAGACTTTAGAAAAAAATAGAAAAATAATGAAAAAGACAAAAGCTGTAAGCTTGTCATATCAAAATAGCTATTTACCTAACAAGTGCGGAAAATGAATTTTTCCGCACGCGGCTGCCGTTCACCGAACGACGCGGAGCGGAGTTCGGTGATGAAGCCGAGTGCGGAAAAATATTTTCCGCAAGGTACAATATTTTTCCTACAGGCAAAAAAATGTAAAATTTTTCTTTTTTTTTTGACATATCAGTGCGGTAAAGTTTTTTCCGCACTGACAGCCGTGCGGAAAAACTTTTTCCGCACTGATATGTCAAAAAAAAAACTTTTACCGCACCGTGCGGGAAAACTCATTTTCCGCACGCATATCAGTGCGGAAAATCGATTTTTCCGCACGGCTGTAGGAAAATACGTTTTTGGTTTATAATAGGTATGTGAAAAAAATCCAAGAACAACATCGAAAACCTCGCCTCTCTGCCGGATTTCTATCAAAAGATATCAGTCTTGAGAGTTTGCAACAAAACATAGACATGACGTCACAACGGCTTGGGGCCCAACAGATTTTGCTTTGGTTCAAAACCAAAAGCCATGTTTCACCTATTTGATTCAACCCGTATTTAAGTGAGAGACGCAGGATTTTATTAGAGTCTGAATCTACGGTTTCCGAACGGTTGTGACGTCACGTTTCCACATTGTTTTGCGAATATCTCGAAAACCGTTAAGCATAAAATGGTGCGAGTTGAAATTCTTAGAATTTGTTATACAGAAATTTTGATGGTTTACACACCATTTACAGGATAGTGGGTCTGTCTATATTAGAATATTTTTTTCTGCATGACCCCCCTCAGACATAACGTCTGGCTGCGCCATTGCTTGAAACTCAATAAAGTCTCAAAATTATCCAAATGAAAACTAGAGCGGATGCAAATTGAAAGTGTTGAATGCCCGTCTACTTATTATCTGGCTAGCGAAACGGCGAACTCCAATAGAATTTGCTGCTTTGCCAAACTTGACGGAACAATAATAAACAAGTTAGTGACATTTTTTTTTTTTTGCTATATGGGCATAGGTAGTATTTTGAAATAGAAAAAAATCCGGCAACATTGCGAAATAATAGATGTAGAGAGGCGTGATTATTCAGAGGCATGATTCTATTGGTTAGAGTCTGAACGACAGCACGCAGTGGCGTGGTTATTGGTGAAACTAGATAATTTTTTTCTAATAATTTTATTAGTTTATTTCCCTGGTGTTTTCGGTGCCACTGAACCCAAAGACATGGCTGTCATCAGGCGGTGTCAGTTGAGGTGTCATTGAATATTTTTATGCTACGCCCCTTTTTTCTTCCCCCTTTCGTCTCTACCAAGTTACCACTTGCCAGACTATACTTCACCTTTAAAAATGAGCTGCCGCTGCCGAGGAAAGCTTAAAAGCTATTTCAAAAACCCGTAGAATGCCTACTAAATTCACTATGGAAGTATTGTACAATAAACTGTCATTGATTTCGACTTTACACTTTGAAAAGTGCTTGTCTTCTTAATCAAAAGAATGCATAAACTTTATTGGTGGAGTTAACTTCAAATTTAATGCATTAGATCTAGTAATTACTCAAAGGAATAATAAACTTAAGTTTTGTTGAAAGCTAACTTCCATCACACAATCGAATTCTAGAAATTCCTCCTCTTTACCTTTCAAATCTAATCTTACAGTTTATGTCTGACTCTAAATAATTTTCATTACTTCAACACTTGGATTAGTCCAGAACTTCTACTAAAATTCCTAAAGTTTCATGTAGAGTGGGAGGACAAATTTAACATTTTATGTAACAGAAAATTTACCAAATACCTTGCGGTTTGCCTTTTTTTATCGTGCACTTTTTTTAAATTAACTTTTTTATCTCCGCTTTCCATCAGTTTTATTTAACTTCTGGCCGAGTTGAACGACGGACGTTTTACCCGTTTATCTCTGAGCTGTTTTATTTAGAATTACATGTACTTTGACGTTGCATTAACCAGGAACAGGCAGTGAATATGTTTTAATTGTGTATGTATTTTAATGAAGCTTTAGATAAGGGGTTCTGTGGTTTTAAGTTTTATTGATACAGTGAAATATGTAGTTCTATTTGAATTGTGGTAGGTAATAGAAAAGTGGATTTGCTTGAGGATATTCTTCTTTGATTTAGAAGCTTTTAACATATCAATTTGGAATATCATTACATCAAAATCTATAAATGCTAATTTAATTTAGTTTTATGAAAAATTCGATCCTTAAAGGGGGTGTGACCCTAAAAAACGACTTAAGCTACTTAAATGAAGAAAGAAATTTTAAGATCTCTCGTGAAAACCGCAGTCCTATATTCAAAATAGTCTCCCTTGTGAAGATAAATTATGCAGGAACTTGTGATGTCATAACCACCGAAATCGCAGACTTCAGTTCGTTCAGTCGACAGTGAACCGTACCCTATACTTTAAGTGGTTGCATTTAGCTCTAGGAGATAATTGTCTTTTGTTTTGGAAAATTTTTACACGTGTTAGTACTGTCCTTGATAATCCAGTATGACGTCACAAACACCTAGTTGTAACTTTAAACCGCCCTAACTCGAAAACGGACCATAAATCGTAGCAAGATGCGGTTCAAATATTTATTCTTAGATTTTTTCGCACTACAACTTTAATTTTTGGGTCACACCCCCTTTAATGGGATGAATTATCGTTAAATTCAAAATTGATTTAGTTCGGAGCATATTTCAGAGCATTAACTATAGATTCTTTCTCTGGAATCTGAAAATTTAGCATTTGAAACATATCTGTCATTTTTATATAAAAATTCACTTAAAATTTGTTCGTTATCCATTGAAAGTTTTTATTCAAACCCATTGTCGAATCTAGAATCTCGAGCGCATATGTTATCTCTAGCGCAACATCGAAGCGAACAACTTCTGCCTCTCTACTTAGCCAAAGCTATAAAAATAGACATTTCAAAGTAGGACTGCAGCTTAAACGACATCCTCTCTAAAATCTGCACACTCTAAAACCTGAGATTTGAAAGATGTTTTGTTCCACTTCAAATTAAAAGTAACTAATTTCAATTGGAAGCTTTAACAATAAGGCAAAACTATTTCACCGCGAAATTCTAGCGGTGTCGTAAATAATGGAGCTTCCGGAATTAAGTGGTATCTCACCCTTCATCATCTTGAAACGCTTCATTAAGAGGAACACGGAGTAAATTTGTCTATGCATGTGGTTTTACAAGAGGGAGGTTAATGTGTGACGGAAACGACACCTTATTGCACGTATAGGCAATGAAAATGTATGGAGTCTCGTAAAGAATGTTTCAGTATAAAACGGCTTTAGGAAGGATCTGCAGCGAGGAGATATGTGTTGTGTGTTTTTAGCGGCGGCTGTGAGTTAATGAAAAACAAATTAAGTATCAATGAAATGTTTGTGATCGTGGCTTGATTTAGAATAGCTCAGAATTTATTGGATAAAAATGGCTCTTCATATTTAGAATAAATTAAATCAGATTAGTCTAGTTACTGTATCTTATACTTTTGTTCTAAGCATACCTAAAAATGAATAAGAGAAAATCCGTTACTTATTCGACAATTTTGTCACTGATGAACTTTATTATTAATAGTGGAAAATCTTCAGATTGTATATTATTCTCTCGATTACTATTTATTTTTCTGAGGGGGGCTCATCTTACTAGCTCTGCAAAGTTTAAAAGGTCACTGAGGTTTACCTCAATTTACTCACAATATCTTACGTTTTGATATAACTTTCTTCATATTTTTCACCAAATTTCAATTGTTTAATCTTGTTCCCATTTCTATTTAGAAAATGAGGTAATCAAGCTGAGTACTCATTTATTTCGATTCTAACATTTCTTTTTACATCAATAATTCTTTGTCCACTAATCGTGACTTAAATTACAAATGTATAAAACAATGGGAACGTGTTAAATTAATTATCTATTTAGTTATAAAATGTAAATATAGGTACGATGACAGTGAATTTATGTTGTTAAAGGTAAATCAATGCTTAGTAATTCTAAGTAAACACAGAAAGATATTTCAGGAAGTGCTTTGTCAAAAGTTTGATGCTATTAGATTATCCAAATCCTACATTCAATTTGCGTTCGCTTGCAAAATTGCCGGACGAAGACTAAAGCCGTAAATGGCCTCTCAATGGGGAGGAAATCGATATTCTATGTCCCCAATTAAAGCCGATCTGGCAATGGTTCGCTAATTATGTTCGAAACTGCCGGTTATTTATCGTTTTCTGACATGCCAAACTACCATCATAAACTTGGGGTTTGATTACAGTGGGACATTACACTAGTATTTTTTTACATATGGTAAATATAAAGTAACAAATGCAATATAAACTTCAAACCGAAAAGGATAATTTCAATTTAGACAGTAACTCTAGGGGTTTACCGTAGGTGCGAATAAGGGATATAATGATCCGCGAGAGTGAAACCGCTAGCTTTCTAGGCTCTGGTATTCCCGAGGAGTGATTGATCCCAGTGGATGCCGATGCCTTGGTTGCATCGGTCTTTTATGTTTAGTTAGCGTAAACTTTACGGGCCGCTTAATAATACTTAACTTACTAAACTGCTTATACTGTTGATTGATTGATGTTGATTGATGGTGCAGCCTGATTTTATAAATTTAATTCGATCAATCACCCTATAACCAGTTGATAATGTGAAAAATTTTGAAACCATCCTACGCGATATATTAGAAGCCAGACCGCACGAAAAGGCATGATAAAAATGTATCTTCGAGTTTCATCAAAACGCTAAGCGCACAATTGGCTTCTTTCAAAACCTGAGAGCGGTCTTAGTTAGTTTACCCATCAAGATTCTTTTTGATTAACTAGTGCTTTATTATTCCAGCCGAAAGCTCGATATAGAAAAAACCGCTCACCACCATCAGCTGACCAACAACCAAAACTCGCATCCGCCGTCACTTGGGCCGGGCGGCATTCATGCCGACGCCCTCTACACGACGGGTCCCAGAGGCGGCAACCACCCAGACGCCATGAAGGTACGTCTGGCTTCAATGGTACTCCAACCGCCCACTGAAGTATAGCACTGCACGATTATGCTGACAGGGCCGTCCAAGAGTGGAGCGGCATATTATCATCTCGAACTGAGTAGTTCCACTCTTGGAAGGTCTCGAGGCAATAATTCTTCCTTTATCGAGTACCGATGCTAACTGTTTTCGATTTTACGAAACTCACAAGGGATTTTCGGAAACCCGATCCGATTGACCGGATAATTGTATGACCGGATTATTTGCTGATCTTCTAGCTTGTTTTATTATTGGTTCAAATTAATGAAACGGTAATGTCAGGAGTTTTAAACAGTGGAGAGATTTCGACGACACAATGAACAAAAATCGGAATCAGCCCTTCAGGAACAAATTTCAATGTGACATTTATCGAATACCGAAATATAATAATATTTAGCAAAAGACAGAATCATGAGAGTAGATCATGCGTCAAATTTCTCTGTTTACGACATCCGCTTAAGTTTGAAAAAAAAAAGGTTAACCCTACATGAGGGGAAAATGAGGGTGGAAAATTGAAAATTACGCGCTTTAGATAGATTGTGCTACATAATATTCTCCTTGTTTGAGTATACTTTTATACAGTAATTTTAGCCGATTCCAATTATTATATAACAATGAACACCGATAATTTCCGGTTTGTAGCGCATTAGCTGCATCAACAACAAATCAACTTGTCGTAAACAAAATTATATTTACCGTGCGGAAGTTATCGTTTGAACGTCACTTGTTGCGGTTCTATAGCGAAATTATTACCGGTAATTTGTCGAATTTGAATTCGCCCCATTGAGCGTGTAATAGGAAACAGTTAGCATAAGGTACCGTCACCACAAGCCAAATGTTTTTCTCGTCACCATTGTTTTGCACAAATTAAGGCGCAATCGATGTTTTGTTGTTTTTGACAATTCTCACGGTCTGGTCTTGCTTGAAATGGAAGATTTTGGACGAGTTCTTTTATATCATTCATTATATCCGAAGTTTAAAATTAACGGAATATTATAGACATCTTTGCAAATTCTTGTTCTTGTTATCCTATCTCAAATCAATTTTTCTTCCTAGTACTGTACTGTACTGTACTGTATGGTAATTCCAAATTAAATATTATTTCCAAGATTTGCAGTTTCCTTGCAACTCGATTAGCTTAATTTTTTTTATCTTTATCACTCTGTCTATTACTTATCGGTATTATTATGAATATCCATTATTTAGATTTATCATTATCATTCTTGCCTCCTATAAATGATCATTGATCATCTTCATCCAGCAACATTCTTGTATTTTCGATTTTATTCCAAAAATGGGCCAAATTGACATCGGCTACTATATTTTTGGGCGCAGGGAAATTCGTCCAAATACTACATTTTAAGTTAGACCTTTTTAAACCCTATCAAGATTTAGTAGATTTTTTTTCCCCTTCTCAAGCATCTAACTAATAATTAATTCACTTTCGTACTAGAATAAACCAAATAATGTAACTCTAGCCAAAGATTGTACATTTATTTGTAAAACATAAATGGAGATTTTTCTTTTAGATGTTATCAAATAGACAATAAAATTATTTGTTTTTGTATCATATGGTAAAAAGCCTCTATTACAATAATATTTATTGAATCAAAATATGTGTACAGTGTAAGGACACACAGGCGTCACTTGGGAGATTTTTTAATTTTATATTACCTACTTATGAAGTAAATATTTTTTCTTAGAGCATGACATCTTTAGGAAAAGCGTAAATCATTCATAAAATGGAAAATCTCTCACGTGATGCCCGTGATGATACCTAGCGACTGTAGAAAATCCAATTATCCCAGAACTCAATTGGAAATTTCTTGATTGTAAATACTCGGTAGTTAAATATTTGCACTCACATGTCTGTTGCACTTTTTGTACATAACCAGCACTCTGCACTTGAATTTTAATGATTGATTTTCACTAACTCATTGGAGAATGATCTGTCGATTATTGCAGTGGACCTACAAATTGATTGGGCATAAGAGTTTTCAAATTATTTACTAGAGCTGTAGAGGTTTTTTTTGTCACACATGATATTATAATATTGCTTGATGGCTTTTAGTAATTATTGCTCTTTCAGAGATTATGCGTATATTTTTTAAAGTATGAAATTCGAAGATATACCCGTACTGTATCTGCAACTGGATTTTCTTATTTATTTTCAACATAACGTCATTAAATCAGTCATGGCTTGCATGTGTATGTGTGTGTTGGAGGTGTCAGTTGCACCAAGATTGATCTATTGTGCCCCTCCTTCTGCTACTAAGTTCGGGTTTCCTGCTCAAAGCAGCCTCTCCAGTCCTTAGGAATTTTAGGATGTCTACCGGTTCCAGGGCTGGAATGTCTTCCAACTGTATAAGGGCACCTCCCAGGTTATTCATCCTTGAGCAACTAACGGCATCACAGTTCAGTGGAAGATGGTCAGGTGTCTCTTCTCTGTCTTCGCAGAATCTGCAGGTGCCACTTTCTTCTAATCCCAACTTCTGTAGGTGTTTCTTAAGTCTGCAATGTCCCCGGTCAGAGTCTTGAGACTTTTCTTGCTAAAGTTGACTAGCAGTCCTGATCTTTTTTGGTTGAAGTTGCCCAATTGCTCTTCGGCCTGTCGTAGTCCTGGCTGTTCTATACATTGTTTGTTCCTTAGCCGGTTCTCTTCTTTCATGAGGATTTCTTGGAGGTGCGCATTTCCGACGCCGCAAAATGGTTCTGGGCTCTGGCCCAGTGAAGGGAGTAGACGCTCCCGTTCTTGCGAGTCTGCGCATACGTTGCCCTCGACATCTATGTGTCCGAGCACCCAAAGGAGGGTTACTTTGTTTTGTTTTCCCAGCTCATTTAATTTCTGTAGACATTCCCATACTGTCTTAGAATTGATGACCGGGGATCTCAATGCTTGATAGCTGCTTGGCTGTCAGACATTATTACTATCTCTCGTTTCCGATAACTTCTGTTCAGGTTGAATTGCACGCATCTTCCGATCGCATGAAGTTCCGCTTGATTAATGCTTGGTGATTCACCCATTGGCTCCGAGTATTTAGTCCGTGACTCTATACTGCGGCTAAAGTTCCCTCAGCACTTCTGGAACCGTCTCTGTACGATTTGATGGTGTTTGCTTTAAGGGATTGGATAGATTCCATGTTCCATCTGTTTTTTGTACTTAGTTCGATCGAAAAGCTCTTCTCGAAACTGAATTTATCAACAATCACGTCTTTTGGTAGATCAATGAGGTGTGCACAGTTTGGGAGAGCAAAAATTCTGACAAGGTGCGGTTTCCTTTGTAGACCTATCTTCTCCAGTCTGAGATATGATCCACTGGCAACCCGCTTCACTATTATGTGGAGTGGTGTGAGGTCTAGAATGACTTCTAGTGCCGCGGTTGGGCATGATCTCATTGCTCCTGTTATACAGAGACACGCGAGTCTTTGCACTTTTTCTAGGGTTTTCCTAGCGGTTACTAACTGGGTTCGACTATACCAGGCTACCGCTCCGTACCTGATGATCATAGATCTCACTATCATGGTTTACATCCATCTTAGGATTGATGGGTTACAACCCCATGTTTTACCCGCAATGTTTTTGCAATGCACCATGATTGCTTTGTTTTTTGTGTTCTCTACATGTCGGTTCCAGAGAAGTTTAGAATCTAGCTAGAGTTAGTCCTAGGAATTTAACTTTTTTTCTCCAATCAAGTCTGCTTCCATCGAGGAGAATGTTTCCAAGGTTTAGAAGTTTCGTTCTTTTTGTTGTAAATGTCACCAGTGTAGTTTTTGCTAAGTTTAGATTCAGCCCCACTGTCTGACACCATTCATTCGTGGTTCGAAGTGCTTTTTCATAAGGTGAGAATTCCTTCGTATTTGCCTCTGGTGATCATGACAATATCATCGGCGTATCCAAAGCAGGTCAAGCCCTGATCGGTCAATAAAGTTACTTTAGCTCTTCTCCATTGACTGAGTATGTGGCCAATCGCCAAGCTGTATCTGATAAGTTTGATTAGATACGGCATTATTTCATTTTGCCCTTTTTGCAGCAGAGCAGTGTCCTTATTCTTGAAACAGGGGAGCAGCGTTCCCAGGAGAACGAGTGTTCCGTCTTTGTTACCTATATTGTCAGTTACATATCGTTGAGAAAGACGGAACACCCGTTCTCCTGGGAACGCTGCTCCCCTTTTTCAAGAATAGGGACACTGGAAAGATGCCGTCAACTTTAGGCGACTTGAACGGCTGGAACGAGTCGATCGCCCAAGTAAGCCACTGAGGAGTGCAAAGGTTCTTGGTAACCTCCCAGTTTTCTTGCCTGGTTTTCCTTTGCCGCCCTTCGTTTTCTTCGGTATCATTGGGTGCGCTCCCTGGAAAGTGAGTTTTCAGTAGTAGAGCAACTCGTTGCTCTTCATTTTTGTGTAACTACCCTGTGTTTTCTTAAGTGTCAACGGTCCTTGCGCCCTGACTTTCGCCAGGGTTTTGTATAATCTAGCTGCTGATGGTGTTTCTGTGATAGATTCACAGAATTCTCTGAAGTTTTTTTGCTTGGCCTTCCTTATTTCTTTGTTGTACTCAGTCAGCCTTTCGGTGTAGCCATGCCATTCTCCGTCTCGTTTGGCTTTGTTGAAAAGCCAACGAACCTCGGATCTAAGTCGTGACAGATGACTGTTTCACCCTGGGCAACCATTTTTGTTTACTTGTTCTTTCACGGGACAGATGGATTCGTATGCCTCCATGATTGCTCCGTTAAGGATCTGAAGGGTTTCTTCTACTTCACGTATATTCTTGTAGCTAAAATGATTTTGTTCGAGGTTTCATTGCAGTTTAGTTGAGTATTTTTCCCAGTTTGTATTTCTGGGGTTTCTATAAGAAGTGGTTCGTTCCTGCACTCCTTCTACGTCAAACATTATGATTCTGTGATCAGAGAGAAAGGGTTCATTGGAAACTCTCCAATTCCTGATTATTTGGTAAATATTTGGACTACAAAGTGTTATGTCTAACACCTCCTGTCTGACCCTAGTTACAAATTTTGGTGTA